TTCAACGATGTCTTGAAAAATCTGAAATGCTGAAAAGAAATGAATTAGTAAAAGATTAGTAAAACATAATAAAAACAAACAAATATAAACCATAAATATTAATTAAATCGAATAAAATAAATGGAAATGGATATCAAATGGAATCATCAAATAAATGAAAATGGAATGAACAATCCAACGATGAGATATAAACATCCCAATGATGTAACATAAACAATCCAACGACAAAACATTCGAATATTCTACTAAATATTCGAATATCCAAACAAAGATAAATAGAAACGAAGAAATAAAATCTGAAAAAAAAGAAAAAATTAAAACCTGAAAGAAAATAAAAATTAGTCCTGAAAAGAAAAATTGTTATTAAATTGTTTCAGGGGCTGGGGGGTGGATGGGGTAGCCAACCCCACCTCACTTCGGACCCATCCCCACACGCGCGCACGGAAAAATTTAGATGTTACACTCGCGACGCGAAACCGGCAAATGACTTGACCAGCGGAGCGGCGTCCCTTATATAGCCGCTGATCGGCCGATTCCCCCACCCCGATCGCAAATTTTCGAACTTTTCCGATTCCATTAATTATTACTTTTCCACTCTAATAGCCAATAATTTATTAATTTTTTCACTTTTATTACAAATATACGTTGTGAGCAATTTGTTAATAACAATATTAATTTGTTATTAACAATATATTTAATAATTTATAAACTTTTTGCAAATTATTTGAATATTTTAACACAAGTACTTTATAATTTCAAACAATAACTAGTAATTTATTAATTTTCTCACTTTTATTATTAATTTACGTTGCAAAGAATTTGTTATTAGCAATACTAATTTGTTATTAACAATAAGTGGAATAATTTACGAACTGTTTGCAAGTTATATATATATTTTAACATAAGTTCTTTATAATTTCAAGTAGTAACCAGTAATTTATTAGTTTTTTCACTTTTATTATAAATTTACGTTGCAAACAATTTGTTATTAATAATAAACTTAGCAATTCATACATTTTTTATAAACCATAACTAAAAATGAGTATTACAGATTAGGGAAAAAGTTGGAATTTGTTGGACAGTGTAATTAGGCTGCAGGAAATCGGCGATCATTGTGCAATACGATGGATTCCGCGTGCAAATCGAAGCTGATTCGTCGCGATCTTCCATCGATCACAATTGATCCCTGTCTCCGTGCCGGCCAATGCGATTTTCCTACCGATTTGACAATTGTAGAAATCGCGGGAAATTTAACGGGGCAAAAATCCAGTTCACAGACGCGTTTGTTTTCCCTCCATCTTTTTTCGTGCTTCAGTCAAATGCAGAAGCGCACGAATAGCGAATGTTTAATCATTACCAAGGCAGGAAAATTATAAAATGGATGAAAAAGCCGCGTCATATGCGGTGGTTATTAATTAGAACAAACGCTGGTGCCTAGTTTGAAAAATGAAAGGTCGATTTGCATGGAGCCGCCTCAGAGATTACCATACATTAGAATAATGTCCGCGAGGGAAAAAAATTCATTAGGAATGTTCTATTAACCACGGTAGCTGAGGATGACAGTTAATTCAGGCAGTGCAACCTTTTAATAGATTCGGTGGTAAAAAATAAAAGGCAAATAATGAAACGCAATTTGCCATTACATACCTCTATCGAAACGGAGATCTATTACGTTAATCACGCGAAACATAATGATTATGGCGACGATTTCGAAAAATCGGAGGTCGCCTGTTTCTTCCACGGCAACCAAATATCTTCATTGTTTATTTCTAAATTGCAGAAATTGAAGGATTGTACCACTATTAATTAATAAATCATAGAAAAATGTCGCGTGAAACTCACCGATTATGGCACCGATTTCGGAAAATCGGTGGTCGCCTGTTTCTTCCACGGCAACCAAATATCTTCATTGTTTATTTCTAAATTGCAGAAATTGAAGGACTGTACCACTATTAATTAATAAATCATAGAAAAATGTCGCGTGAAACTCACCGATTATGGCACCGATTTCGGAAAATCGGTGGTCGCCTGTTTCTTCCACGGCAACCAAATATCTTCATTGTTTATTTCCAAATTGCAGAAATTGAAGGACTATACCATTATTAATTAATAAATCGTAGAAAAATGTCGCGTGAAACTCACCGATTATGGCACCGATTTCGGAAAATCGGTGGTCGCCTATTTCCTCTACACCAATCAAATGCTTTCATTATTTATTTCCAAATTGCGGAAATTGAAGAACGAACTATTAATTAACGAATCACAAATAAAAGAATGACATAAAATTCGACAAGTATAGCGCCGATTTCAAAAAATCGAAGGTAATCTATTTCTTCCACGCCAACCGAATATCTGCATTGTTTATTTCTAAATTGCAGAAATTGAAGAACGGTACAACTATCGATTAATAAATCACGCGTAAAAAATTGCGTGAAACTTACCGATTACAACGTCGATTTCGAAAAATCGAAGGTCGCCGATTGCTCGACGTCTCAATCCGCGCTCGACGATTTATGTTTCTTCGCTGTGCGCCGGAATAATGTCCGCGCGGTAGAAAAATCGGTCGCTGACAAATAAGCCTAGTGGGCGTCGCGTGGGCGTCGGTGACACCCAGCCACGTCGGATTCGATTTTCGTCCGCGATCCGTTCAAGGAAAACGACCGTGTCCCATCATCCTCCGAGTGCACTTGACTCCTAGCTCTCCGATGCTCGTCTGAAAAATCGGCCGACGCGGATTCCGAGCGTAGAAAGGCCTGGAAGTTTGACCCAGCCTGAGAGGATCAGCCGATCTCTCGCCAATCTCCATCCACCTACCTGACCTAACCTAAAACGGGCCGAAGCGATTCGAACGCTGGACCGATCTCGCTGCTCCGGCGTCGAGGATCTATTCAAATTTCACTTCCGATGATCCCTCTTGGCGACCCGGTATCGAGCATCCAAGCTGCATAGCTGCGATATAACTGTACCCGATCACACCTTCGCCGCTAGATGGAGCCAACAAGGAGATTCGAGGATTCTTGCAAGCCTCGGTGAATCTGTTTCCTAAAAATACAAATTCCTGATATAAATTCCTATCTACAGTATTTCCGTGTCAATCTGTGGATTCGGAGGTGATATCCCTGCGTCAGTTGGTAGACCCTGAGATGACGAGCGCCTTCTGATATCTGAAAAGTGATTCAGTGTCAAAATCAGTACAGCACAGAGAGCATTATAGCGACTGTAAAATATCCACAAGGCATGTGTGTATTTCTTTGTATTTGCATAAGTATGCACACATATTTCACTGTGTAATAAACTTTATATATTCGTTATGTAGGGGGTCCTTCCCCACGTACTTGAAAAGTCACCTCGTCGGAGATATCCTTGTGTGAGTGGTGATGCTGCAAGGGACGATAGGAAAAGGAAGGGATGCATTTTGTCCTGGGTCTGCTAGTGGACTCATCAGTAAGGCTACCCTATACCGGGATACGATTGGAAGATCAGGAAGTTATATATGTAGAAATCGGAGGTTTTCCCAGGACTTGCGAGAAAGTCCTCGAAGTCGGAATCCATCTAGTGGCGAGGCTGAGAATGACGGTCGCTACAGTTGTTATACAACTGTATATAGTTCCCTGCACATTATGATAAACACTGCAATTTCATTCAAGAAATTACAACGATAATAGTAACAACACAAAAGCCTACAAAACTTACATTCCTAGAAAGACATGAACATCGTCAGACTAATACTTCCTGTAAAATAATCGGACGAAACATTGGCATTTGGAGGATTAGCACGTTGAGTGCTACGTCGGTACCTGGGAACTGACAGTGGACTTTTCCTTTGGACGGCATGGATTCTAGGAACTGACAGTGAACTTTCTGTTTGGTCGACATCGGTGCGTTGGTCCGACACTATCTAGGATTAAATTGTTAATGACAATTAATATATTGTAAAAACTAAATTCCCCCTACTGAAATAGATCTTTACACTACCGTAGCTTTTTCTCACTGATCGTCTTTTGCCTTTTTTCTGGCATTCCTCATCCTATTATCTTCTGCTTATAATTTGTATATTTGTGCATCGACTGCACCATTCTCACAGTCCAAACGACAAAGTGAAACAAAGTAATTTTCTGTTCATACTCTTCAGCATTCTCGAGCATTCGACATCAAGTGCTCACTGGCTGCCACCTGAGCAGAAAGTATAGCAAAATCAGCACCGTATTTAACTTATTAACCTATCTATCGAAGTTGACTCACCTACCAATTACGATACGCGTTCCTCCTTCGCGAACATCTCGAAGAACCAAGCAGGACTATGACTATCCGTGACTGAGACTCCCCTTTTCGTCCTTCTAATTCCCACCCACGAGTTTCGAGTACTCCTGCCAAAGTAATAGCTACATTGGCCATAGCAAAAGGGTGGTTGGAGCGGCGCGTAAGCGGCGACGCGGACGATTAACCGCAGGTGGAAAAGCGACGCCGCGGACACGCCGGTGACAGCGGCGTTACAGCGACGAGAGCAGAGGACGCGAAACGAGTCGAGGCGAGGCGACCGCGTGCCTAGATCGGCCTCGTGTTTATCCCAATGCCAGCCGGCGCGCGTATTTTTAGCCAGCGTTACAGTTGACCGCGACGACTCGACGCTTCGTCACGGTTGTTCCAGCGACGACAATACGCCGGGACCACCGTCTCCGCGCACACGTGCACCCACCGATATCGGAGGGTCTGTCCCACTCCTCGTCAATCTTTTGCATACCGATTCACCCCTCCCTCGCGATCTTCCTGCGCGAAACGAGCGAAAATCGAGATCCAAGTTTGGTCCTGACGAATCGTAATCGGTGCAATCACCTCGGATGGTCCTCGTCGTCTCGTCCTCGAGATCCTTGACTGAACGTTGGCTGTCAATGGTGCAACGAGGACATCCGGGAGCCGATCGATGCGTCGGGACGCCGAATTCGATAGCGTCTGCTAGGTGACCGGGTGGATTAAACGGATTGCACGTTTTTCTGTTGCAGTGTGCCAAAGCATAGACATAAGAAACAGCGTGCGTCATTTCTCAAGACTGAAGGGATGCCGACTAGTCCAAGGCTTCGTACAAATTTTGCTGATCGACAACGCCGAGCCGTCGGAGTATGCCAACGTCTCTTTCCCGGAGCTGAAAGAGATCACCGGATACCTGCTGCTGTATAGGTAATCCCCGAGTTCTCCGGGTCGAGTCCAAGTCCGAGTAAGGGAATTTTCTCGAAGGCACTTGGCTCGGCTCGACGCTTCCGCGAGGAACAAAAAGCTTCCGATGGCCTGGGTCAGCGATCTCTAGCCATTTCTAGACGCGAGATATCTTATTATTTCGAGTATGACTATAGTGGAGCAACGTGGGACATTCTTGGCGCAGTGGAGATGTGCTAACGATCGCTAGAATTTCTCATCGATTGGTAAATTTGGCAGAGCATAGAGTCCCAAAGCTATACGCTGTCGCTGTGAAACGATAATGACGAGGAAGACGTGGAATCGGTGGAGGATTCGGAGAGGTAGAAAATCGGTGGATTAGGCGAGGTCGGGGAGATTAATCATTCGTAAATGGAATTCCGACGAAGGCGACAAGGCCAGCGGAAGCTCCGTTCCTATCCCGACGACTTCCTTCGTCGTCGAGGGTCACTAAACTTCTCGTCGGTTGTACGTCGTTATTATCTCGCCGGTTCCTTCCGCCGACTTCTTCCTTCCACGTCGGTTTCCCCTTTCTGGCTACTTTTTACAAGCGTCGTAAAGTACGCTGCCGGCGAGCCGGATTTCCCATTCACAACTGCTGCTCTCCTTCCTTCCTGCTCTCTCTTATTCTCATCTCTCTCCGTTTTCTCTGTGCACGCCGTAGGGTAAAAGGGTTGCGAAGCATCGGTCGCCTGTTCCCTAACCTGACCGTGATTCGAGGCCATTCTCTGTTCATCAACTACGCCCTGGTCGCGTTCGAGATGATGAACCTGCAGGAGATCGGGCTGCACCATCTCACAACCATCGTCAGAGGCTCCGTCCGCTTCGAGAAGAACCCCACGCTCTGCTACGTTGACACGATCGACTGGGACCTGATCGCCAAGGCTGGAAAAGGAGAACACGTGATAGCGGTAAGTGATCCACGAATCGGATTTAGACGATAAACAGGTGTGTGACAGAGGATCCCTACCGATTGACGAAAATTGGAGTATAACATGCGTCAGTGGCGGTAAGTGATCCACCAGTCGGACGATTTAGGCACACGATGACAGGTGCGACGGTAAATCCCCTAACTGCGGGGGTCCTCCCCCACGGATGGCGTGTGGTCGGTTTGTTGCAGGTATCCTCGATGTGGCGGCGGTGTTAGAAAGGACGAAATAAAAGGGAAGGGATGGTTTCGTCCTGGGCCTGGTAGTGGACGCATCAGTAAGGCTACCTATTGGAAGGTTTGGAAGTTGTATATATAGGAAACGGAGGATTGTTACCGAGCACTTGCGAGAAAGTCCTCGACCTCCTTCGAGTAGGAATCCATCTATCGGCGAGGGTGAGAACGATGCCGCTACACTAGGTTGTCAAAATTTTCGAAGAATCCAAGCATAGGATGAATCGATCGCGGTAAATGATCCACGATTCAGGCGATTTGAAGGATAGAGCAGGTACGACGGTAGATCCTACGGTTGACAGAATTCTGGAAAAATCGAAGCATAGGAGATCTGTCAATCGCGGTAAGTGATCTATAATACGGACGATTTAGACGATAAAGCAAATAGGATGGGAAATCTTACGGTTGACGAAATTCTGGAAAAATTGGAACCTAGGGTGTATCGATCGTGGTAAATGATCTACGATTCGGACGACTTCGACTATAGAGCAGATACGTCGGTAGACCCTACGGTTGACAGAATTCTGGAAAAATCGGAAGCATAGGACATGTCGACGGCGGTAAGTGATCTACGAATCGGACGATTTAGACGATAGCAAGTGCAACGACAGATCCCACGATAAAATCAGCGAATAGGAGAACGCTGCGCATGGACGGGACGCGTACCATTTAAAGCTTGGCACGGGAATTCCATCTTGTATGGCAAGAAGTCGGAATAGCGGGTAATGGCCGCGCCTTCTGGCCTGTGGGCCAAGTCGACATCGTCTTGGCATAAATTTGACGATCCACCGAAGCACCGGGGGCATTATTCCGGCGTGGAGCAACGAACCGTTCCGTTGGCAGCCCTCGCGTCTGTAAACAATTCCATTTGGCCGCTAATAAATAATCGTTAGCACGCGTAGCCGTTCGCTTCGGCTCGACACGTCCGACGTTGGAACGCGCGCGCTCCCGGATGCTATTTTCTTCCATCCCGAGTCCCTTTGTTCCAGCGTCCGCCGCGACTCGCGCGAGTTCCGCGGAACGAGATCCTCGCGGAACGCCCGACTTCAATTGCCCATGCCTGAACGCTCCTCCGTGATTATGTTGCCCGATGGAGGGCAATAATGTTGCCCGGTTCCAGCGTAAATCAGGGAATCTCTCTGCTGGCACAGCTCGCGACCAACTATTTCTGGCGTAGACCGACCGACTGTCCTCTCCGTCTGCGGGGTAATAATATCGTCATCTCGTCCGCGAAGAGGTGAACCGAGTCGTTCTCAACGCTCCACGAACAGCGATCCAGCTCATCGCAGAGTCGACCATCATCGCTACGTTTTCCAAACGATTACGTCTAGAAATAAACGCCAACCGTACGAACACGCAGCAGCTGTCAAACTCGCTGCGTCTCGGAGGATCGAGGAGGATCGGGGATCGATTTGACGATGTTACGAAGATCCACGTACCACGTTTCTTAAACCCACATCGTTTCGATGTCGCTATGGACCACGGTTCGCCGCGTATACCACCCTCCTGTCAACCCTCTGCCAGCCCTACGCGGGCCCATCGGGGTGCTCGAACCCGGTGGCCATCGTTAATTCGCGTTGAATGCGGAACAAACGCGTGGATTCGTGCGAGTGGCAAACTAGCGAATCACCTCGTGGCGACGCGCGGCGTCGGTCCACCCTCCCGGCGTCCCTTCTTCCCGAGTCACGCGTTTTTCGCTCGGGCTGCACGGAACGGAACGGATCGCAATCGCGAGTTTCGCGGCCGAAAAACGCGATTGGGAGAGCGACGTAACGCGGAATCGCAGCCAGTCCACTCCAGCGAGCACTCGTTAATTTCCGAACTGAAACACGCGGCCCTCGAGCGCGTCGCGCTGCCTCGTTATCGGCCGTGACTCGCGTCAGACACGCACGTACCTCGATATCAGCTACCCGCGTCGAGTTCCCGCTCTACGGGCCGTGATTTGCCCACGATTCTCGTGTATTTTGGACTTGGTTTAGGTTAAGTCTTGGTCGATGACTGGAAGTATCGGAAGCCGGGATCGCGAGAGATCGGGAGGAGATGGATCGACCCTCAAATACGCTCTGATCTCGGCGAGATGCGATTTCTATTTTCTATTGTCATTCCTGTCACGAGCATATAAAGGGGGGTTAATAGTCAGGAGAACGAGCAGAACTGCAAAGAAAGAAAAATTATGTAGGAAGTCATTGCCTACAGGCGGTCATCGTCTAGTTGACAGTATCCTGGGGTCAAGTATAAATGTAGAGTGCACGGGACCAAGGCGTTTCTCGAGAACACTGTGCAAGACAGTATTAGGAACGCATGGGGAAAATTTGGACGACTGATAGTCCGATATGTGTGCGTATCTCGTCAGTGAAGGAGGGGATTTAGACTCCAGGGACAGGAGATCAGCGCCTAGTTGACACTATCCTGCGAGCAAGTATAAATGTAGAGTACATGGGACCACGACGTTTCTCCGTTTCTGGAGAATCATGTGCAAGACAGTATTAGGAATGCATGGGGAAAATTTGGACGACTGATAATCCGACATGTATGCATATCTCGTTAGCGAACGAGGGGATTTAGAGTCGAGCGACAGGAGATCAGCGCCTAGTTGACACTATCCTGCGAGCAAGTATAAATGTAGAGTACACGGGACCAAGACGTTTCTCCGTTTCTGGAGAATCATGTGCAAGACAGTATTAGGAATGCATGGGGAAAATTTGGACGACTGATAATCCGACATGTATGCATATCTCGTTAGCGAACGAGGGGATTTAGAGTCGAGCGACAGGAGATCAGCGCCTAATTGACACTATCCTGCGGTCAAGTATAAATGTAGAGTGCACGGGACCAAGGCGTTTCTCGAGAACACTGTGCAAGACAGTATTAGGAATACATGGGGAAAATTTGGACGACTGATAGTTTGATATATGTTTATATCTCGTTAGTGTACGAGGGGATTTAGACTCGAGCGACGGAAGATCAGCTCCTAGTTGACACTATCCTGCGGTCAAGTATAAATGTAGAGTGCACGGGACCAAGGCGTTTCTCTGCTTTTGGAAGACAGTGTGCAAGACAATTCTAAGAATGCGTGGGGAAAATTTTGGGAACTGATAGTTCGATATGTATGCGTATCTCGTCACTGAACGAGGGGACTTAAACTCGAGCGAGCAGCGTAACGTACAGATGCTAGCACGGTTACAAGAATAAACTACCTTTACATTTTTTAATCGTACCTGTTCCGTTGGCTACGAAACACTCT